ACTATATTACATACAGAACATTTGCCAAGATAGACCATATTCTGGACAGAAAAAAACCACCAACAACTCCTTAGAATATTTAAAAGAATTGAAATCATACAAAACAAATCATGCAAAAAAATTCATCTCAATTCATAATCTGTGCCCTATTTAAAAAGTAACTCAAAATGGATCGTAGACCTTAATCTAAAATCTTAATCTATAAAACTTCTAGGAAAAAATTAGAAAATATTTGTGATCTTGGATTAGACAATTAAACAAAGATACAATACAAAAGTACAGTCCATAAAAAGAAAATTAGTAAATTGGATTTCATCATAATTAAGAACTTCTGCTCTTCAAAAGACACCATAAAGAGAATGAAAAGACACACCACAAATAAGTAAAAATATTCGCAAATTACATATCTGATAATGGACTTGTATCCAGAATATATTTAAAATTCTCAAAACAAAAAAATAACTTGGCAAATGGGCAAAAGACCTAAGTAGACCCTTCGCCAAAGAAAAGCAGATAACCAAAGAAAAAGAGAAATAAAATGTCATTTCTTTCTTTCTTTTTTTCTTTTAGCCATTCCTATGGGTGTGTAGTGGTATCTTATGGTTTTAATTTGCCTTTTCCTAATTACATGGGATGTGTATTAAATATACCTGTTTTAATAGTTTTGTCCTCTAATTCTATCATGTCATTTCTGTTTGTTTCTATTGATTTTTCCCCTTTTAATGTGTCCTATTGTTATACATTATTACATGTCTGATAGTATAAAGTAAGATGACAGTTTACATGACTTTTATGTAGTTGGATGCCAGATTTTCCTGTATCTCTTTCAAATATTTTTGGACTTCATTCTGGAATGTAGCTAAGTTATTACTTGGAAATAGTTTGAAACTATCAAAGCGTGCTTTTCTGCTTTGTAACATAGGTCCAAAACAGTCTTTCATCTAGGACTAATCTGGCTGTACTATTGAGAAAATCCTATTCTGAGAACTTTGCTCAATGTCCCAAAAGTTAGGAAGTCTTTCCACTTTGGCTAGTAGTTTCCCAGCCCTATGTGAGCTCTGAGGCCTTTCTGCCTGCTCCTTCCCAGTCATCCTTTCCCAGACCCAAGTGGTTTCCTCACATGTGTGTGCTCATGAGCTCTCTGTGCAGCACTCTCCTCCTTCGTGCCCTACCCTGGGAACTCTAGCCACCTCAGCCTCTCTGAGCTCTGAATCCTGAGACTACCAGCCTCTCTCCCACTTCCCTAAGTTACAGCCTAGAAACTCTACCCAGGCAGAAAGCTAAATCAATCATAAGGCTTATCTTGCTTCCCATTCTCTGTGTTGTCCAATATCTGAAAAATCCTTGTTGCATATATTTTGCTTTGAATTTTTTATAGTTGAAGGTGAGAGAGTAAATCCTGTCTCTGTTTTTCCATCTTGGCCAGAAGTAGAATTCTATAAAAAATTATTAAGTGCCTATTATTGTGTGGCACAGCCTTAGATGTTGAGGATAAAGGAGTGGTCCACACAGACAAGGGCCCTGTCCTCCAGGAAGATGCATTTTAGTGAAGGCCTGTGAAGACAAGTATTGGGTCCTATAGTAGGAACGGGTACAATTTTGAAGTTTCCACTTCTAAAGTTTCCTTAATAGAGGACTTCCAGATCTAGAGCTATACTGCAGACAGTAGCAGACTGCACTGGAAGGCTGGGGGTAGGGATGAGGGAGAGTAGACATCTGTATAAAAAATACTGCCTCCCATTTTGTAAACCAAATGGCTAGTTGGCCATAACAAAACAACATTAATTTGAAAACTGCCAATGATAAGGATAGTGCCCATTTCATAGAATATTAAGTTGTGTTAGTTCATGTGAAATGCATATTTAGCGCAATATTTGATGTGGACCGCTTTTCACCTGACTTTAGTTCAATTCACCAAATACTTATGGAAACAAACCCACAGGTGGGAGTAGAGTTTGGCACCTTTCTATCCACCCTGTGCAAATTCTATTATTATTCCTATAGTCTCTGTCCCCAGAAGCAGAATTCTCTCCAAAAGACTCTCTCCTCTCCAGGAACAGCTACATAACTTGTGAGGCCCAGTGCAAAATGAAAATGTGGGCCTCCCTGTTGAAAAAAGTATTGGAATTTCAAGCCAGTGACTGCAGAGAGTGGGCCTTCTGAGAGTGGGCCCTGTGTGACTGCCCCGGTCACATACGCATGAGCCATTGTCTCACCTCCAGAAAAATTCCAGTCTCCTCTGCAATGCCCTCAGTCGTCTGTCAGACAGACAGAAAGCCTCTCCAGCAGCCCAGCCACCCATCAGTTCCAGCACAGCTGGAACAAACCCGCAGCCTGTCATCACTCACAGCTCAAGTGCTTAGTGCTTCCTAGAGCTTCACAGCAGGCACTTAATACATACTTGCCGGGTATATAATGAAGAAGACAGAAGAAACCAGGCTCCAAGGAAAGGAACTAGATAACTGTGATTATCTGGATCTTTTTGGCACCCCTGAAATCTTCCCACATGGGTGACCCCCTCTCAAGCGGGAAGGTCGGGTCTGCCAGTATGAATGCAGTGCTAATGTCATTTGGCACCTCTCGAGACAGCACTTTGTTGAAAATGAAGGAATTAGGAAAGAGGAAAGGCAGATCACCAACAAACTGAAAATTCCAACTCTAATCATTGGCTGAGCTAATGTTGAGTGCATTTATTATATTATCTTGTCATCAGGTATAGACTAGAACAGATTTGGGAATTACCCTTCTTCCAAGAGGCTGGTTGAAGAAATCAAAGTCCCAAGGAAGAATACTTTGAGGCCCTCCTGTTCCTCCCTTGCTTCATTCCATCTGGCCTTGGCACCAGCTGGGGTCATAAAATAGTTGTAATCTTGGGGTGTGGAACAGGTTATCTTGTAGTCATATGAATTTTTAGAGCAAAATGGATCTTTAAGACCTTCCTGCTATACCTACAATTGCACTGACTATAGGTAATGCAAGTCCTCAAGCCATAGGCATCTGCCTGATGCGCATAAGGACTCTGTGCTCTGCTGCCTGTACACTCAGGTCCTCTGTGAACCTGAGAGCCTGTTACACACCTCCCACTTCATGGAGATGATAGCTAGTCCCTCGCTCTAACCGTGACCTTGAGAAGTCTCCTCCCACACTCCTTTTTCCCAGAAACAGGTTTGGGAAAATAACAAAAAAGGTTGTTTCTGTGTAGATGGCCCACCCATGTTTCAATACTATTATGTTCTAGATAACTCTTATCTTTTCACATGCCACCTCCTCCTAACCCCCCTCCATTGCCCCCTAGGAAAAGCATTCCTTACACTTGCTTGTCTCCTGTCTCCCACATGGCACTTTCCCTCATTGACCTGGTGCTGCAACTGGGCCTGGGTTAGAGCCAGGGCCTTTGTTCCCTCTCACCTGAGAGAAGAACTTGTGAAGGAGAAAAGGAGATGTGGAGTAGAATGCGAAGGGAAGCATGTAAAGGTGCGATTCTTCAGTGTCACAGTTTGGGATAGGGTTGACAGTGACTACCAAGCCAGTTGAATTACTGGGGGCAGTTAAAATGGCAATGATGATGACAGTAGGTCATGGTGACAGTGTTTTCCAAGGACCCCATTATTTTTATAATTATACAATTACAGTTCATTGTTTGAAATGTTTGCCATTTCTCATGGAATTCTGATACTTTTTGAATTTTGCCTGTAAGAAATTTAAGGTCTTTTTCTCTCCAGTTTTGCCCCACATGCAGGTTCCTTCAGAGTGGTGGACACTGAAGGTGTGAAGGGTGTGGAAATAGAGGAGGGAGGGGATAACTGTCCCTCCATTCAGCAGCACTGGTCTTGGCCAGTTCATTGACCACGTGCTGGATAACCTGTTCTATCAGTAAATGCCTGATTTCTAAAAATGCCTAATTGAAAGATCAACCAAATGTTATCTGACCATAAAAAGCAGAGTGAGAATATGATAAGTCCTGAAAAGTTCTAGCCTCTCTGTCCTGGCATTAGGGATTTCTGTCTTATTTCCTGTCTTCTGCTTTTGCCTCCTGTTTGTAATTTCTATCTCTGACTCTCCCTCCCTACCTCTCTTCTCTATCTCTCCCTCAAATGCCTTCCTCTCAATTTCCCATCTCTCCTATTTACACTTTGTTGTACTCTGCTGGAGAAAGCTCTGATAGAGAGAGCTCCGGGCAAAGAGACAGCCTCCAGAGCACCTGTAGGGCTGCCCCAGTCTTTGCACAGCAGAGCCAGTGACCCAGGCAGACAGTGCCAAGGGCATGTGTGTCAGGGAGCAGGTGAGTGAGCAGTCACAGATTTGTGATGGGAAGGGATGAGGCTTGTGGAGAAGCCAGTGAGGCCCTGCAAGCATGCTTATGTGTTCTAGAGATTCAGCATCAACGGTAACTGCCCCACAATTAGTCTTACAGAACTACGGATTGGAATCCTTGTTCTCTATTTGCTGAGCTTCTTGGGAGAACTTTGCTTGGGTTCTATTAGAAAAGTCTAACCTCTAGTATTCCCTATTGATTTAGAGTTGGCTAATTATTTTCATGGTGAAATTTGAGGTGGACAGAGTCTAAGGAAGTTGGCGTTGGTCTCCCACTCCTGACCCTCCTCCCAGATGCTCTAACTACGTCCCACTGGTGAAAGTCTACCCTTGTTTGGAAAGTTATAAGGAAGTAATCCTTGGCCAAATTCTTTGTCATTAAGTATTTCAGGGTTTCTGTCTTGGGGCTTTTTACTTTTAAGGCAGGATTGGAAAGATTTGGAGTCAGAGACTCCATGGATAAAGTAACTTCATGAACTTTAAGGTAAGTATTTAACAATTTTGAGCCTCAGTTTTCACCTCTGCCAAATGAAAATAGTGATAAGCTTACCTGCCTACAATGATCAAAATGATTTAAATGATTAAATTAGAATAGTAAAAGGACAAAACCATTGTATAAATGGTAAAGTGCTCCAAAGTGTAAAGATCCTGATACAGATCCTTTGCTTTTTTTGTTTTTTTTTTAGACTATTTTGCTCACCTCTTATACTTCAGCACTACTCCATGACTGAAATGCATTTCATGCATTTTCTCCTTTAATCCTGACCAGGCACCTTGGAGGAAGGTACTGTTACTATCCCAGTTTTCCAAACAAGGAATATCAGGCTTAGGGAAATGAGGCAACCAGCCAAAGTCCCAAAGCGAGCAAATGAGAGATCTGAGTTTGAGCCCAGCTCTGTGCTCTTAACCACGACTCTCTACTGCCCCTCCTGCCCCACCCTCCCATGCCTCCCTCCCCTCATCCTGTTCTCAGGCTAGCCATCCTTGAAGATCCAACTCAGATGACTCCCCCTTTTTCTAAAAGGCTTTGGACTCCATTTCAGTCCCCAGGAAACTCACTGTCTTCTTTTAGTGCCTGAGCTACTCATGTGTTAATCATGTGGCATCTTTTGTATTTTTCTCTAATACTATTTGTCATAATGTTGTCTTATATATTCTCCAAGCTACATCCTGGAGAAAAAAAGTTTGTCTGAAAGTGGCAGAAATCCTCATTGAGAATTTTGCTTTTTAGCAAATTATCTTGGTTGGCTGTTTGGCTGTGAAGTCCCATTGGAGCAGAGACCCCAGCACCTAGCACACAGAAGTTGTGTAAAACTTATTTGCTGGGGAAAAAATAGAAGCTCCTAGGATATGTGCCCAGACCATCTAGAGGAAAAAGAAAGTGTCTGTTACCTGAGAAGTATAAAGCACTTAGCATAGTGCCTGGTACAAAGTAAGCATTCAGTAGGTGATAGCTATCTTGTCTACCTTACGTAAATAAGATAGGAATTATTAGAGCATCTAGGAGGCCCAGGAAGGAGACAGCAGGAGAAGAGGGAGAAAGAAGTAGAGCAATATGGCAGTTGCTGGGCTCTCTGTAAAGAGCAGGCCAGGAAGGTCTTTTCAGGGGTGGCTGTGGCAAAGGAGCAATTAAGGAAAGGGACATTGGACATTTGCTCTGCTGAGCTACAACTCCACCCTCCTTTCTTCAAGTATTCAGTAAAATCTGCTACATGTATAGTTTGGTGCCAGTGGTACTTAGAAAGTTCAGCAAGCCAGATCGTGGTGTGTTCTGGGCTGCTGGGAGGTGATGTATTTAAAGAAAAAAAAGACAGCCTACCCAGCAAAGTTAGCAAATTCAGCAGCAGAAGCATGAAAATTGAGACAAAGACAAGGAGAAAGGCCCTAAGAGTTCTTGGAAATATTGGGAATGATGATTATTCTCCTTTTATAGGAGATGGGGGATTAAGACAATTTTATCTAAATAGTAAAGGATGGCCAGCAGGCCATGGGAGTTTGGGGATATCCCAATAGCTAACACTTGAGTCACATGTATATTGTTTCTACATGCTTTATGTTTTGCCCCTTTTAGCTGTATTGTAACTTCCTTGGAACAAGAACTATGGTAAGGTGTTGAATTGAATCTATATGGCAATAACCCTCTGAGATAGTACAGCAAGTATCAGTGTATTTCCCATGTTCAAATTAAGAAAATGCAGCCTAAGAGTAATGCTGTCCTGTTTCCTGGGTTACAGAGCCAACAATGAGCCAAGCCAGCCTGGGGCAGGGAGAAAAACCTGGGTGCCTGAGGCTTAACCCAGAGGTCAGGGTGAAAACTAGCTTGCTGTCCCTCTTCCCTCTCTCACCCTCTAGAGCTGCTCACGCGACAATCTGTGTCCTCTCTAGCCCTATGGAGGTATTTGTGTATCCCCCCCAAATCTAACATTTCCTACCCAAGGCAAAACGTGAGACAAGCTATTTAATATTTAAAAGGATGATAACAAGGACATCTTCATAGAGCTGTGAAATTAAATGAAATAATTAAATGAACATCTTTGACACATTACCAGGCACATATAGATGTTCAATGAATGGTCTCTTTTTTGCTCTCCTCTTTGCTGTGGCTCTCCCTTCTTTTTCTGTCCCTAAGCTTAGGTCCAGTGCTCCCTCTACCATGCCATGTTCCTTGTGTTTCACTGTATCTTCAGCAGCTCCTGACAGATGACTGGTCATCTGTAAATCGGCAGGGTGGGGCCTGGGCTTGGGCTTGGGCTGAGAGCAGGGTAGGAAGTCCCCAGCCACGTTGAAGGGTCAAAGGAGGAGGCTTTGCCAAGCTCTGCGTCAGAGCACAAGGCTCAGTGGAACTTGACTGAGGCCTGCAGGGAGGGGGAGAAAACGCTCATGGAAACCATGTCCTAACATGATTCCAAAAATACTCAATTATTGTTCATAATAACAGTTAGTTTTGTGAGAGCTGACTTGGTGCCAAGCTCTGGGCCAAGGGCCTTTTATGCATTATCTCACTGAATTCTCCCAACCCCCATGAGGTAGCTACTACTTTTTAAAACCCTATTCTACAAAACCTAGGGCTTAGAGAAGTTAAACAACTTACCCATTTGCTGTTAAATGGAAACCTTAGATATGAATCTGAACAGTTGGCTGTTTTCCCAAGTAAAGTCATGAACTCCCAGTCAGTAGTTTCCAAACTCATCCCCTGACCCTCCTCAAGCCACAGATGGCACTGATAGGGGGGCTGTATCTGGGAGACTAACTTAGCCCCTCAGTTCACATGTCTCAGGAAGCTACTCCAGTTCCTGCAAGAGCCTTCCTGTCAGCAGTGTTGCAATGAAGATAAGTGTAATTCAGTGTTCTCCTGAAATGAGCTAAGATAACTGACAGTAGGGAAGGGCAGCCAGGCTGGCGCCGGCCTTGAAGTCTACAGAACTCCGCCTGTGGTTCAGTCCACAGGCCAAGTTCTCAAGAACTCTTCCAAGTGGAGGGTCTACTAAAGAGTAAAAGAGTGGAACCTGCAAATGAGAAACAGAACAAAATGGTGGCCGCCTTTCCTCACTTCACCCTTCTCTTCACCTCTGCAAGCAGCCGCAATCTGATCCTTTCCAAGGAAACCACTGTCCAGACTGTCTGAGAGTAGGAGACGAGGTCCGTCCTGGGTCAGGTGGGGGGGCATGCCCTCTCTTTTTTTTTTTTACTCTTTTCTCCATCCTCTGTCTTCCTCTCTCTGGCCTGATCAAAATCTGTCTTCTGGAAAGGAGGCTGCCTTCCTGGGAACCAAAGTCAGAAAGTACCCATGTAGTTTCTGTGCCCTGTTAAAGGACTTTTAGTAATTGGTGAGCAAGTAGAAGAGGCAGTCTTGTTCAGGATCATTTCCCCAGTGCCTAGATCAGTTCCTGGCTCCTTAAAATTTGTTGAATAAATAAACTTTGGAGACCAGGGGGTCTTTCTCAGGACCCCAAAATCACACACCTGTTGGCCCCAGGCTGTAGACCTGTGGGCCACAGGTGTTGGACAGAGCTTCTGAGCAAAGGACTTCTTGTACTGAAAGATCTAGGCGTGTATGGGTCCTAGGCAGCAGAATGTGTGACACCAACATCCATACCTGTACCTGGGGTCCTCTTGCAGCTCCTAGAGGTCCAAACTCCACCCCTCCTTCCAGAAGAGTAGAACGTTGGTGCTACCACTGGCGGACATGCCCCCACCTTTCTGGGTACAGAGCAAGGGGTCTATTAAGCCTTCCCATTGCTATGGTCTCCAGCCACCACTAAATTCATGCTGAACCCCTAACATCCAACATGACTAAATGTATAGTAAGGAAGTAATTAAGGTTAAGTGAAGCGATAAGGGCAAGGCCTTAATCCAATAGGGTTAGTGTCCTTATAAGAACAGAAATCAGAGTGGCCAGCTCCCGCTCTCTACCATGTGAGGACAAAGCAAGAAGGCAGCCATTTCTGTCTTCATCAGAAAACAAACTGTCCAGCACCTTGGTCCTGGACTTTCCAAAACTATGAGAAGATAAATTTGTTGTTTAAGCCACTCAGTGGTATTTTATTATGGCAATCTGACCCAAAAAATATACCTGCTTCTCTAGAATGCTTCAAGATTTACACTCAGAGAGGTTCAAATGAGCAGATTGGCCCACTCTCACCCAAGTCAAATTTCTTCCTATTATATATCTTTTATTCTACACAAATGGACACAAAACTGATTTTCCTCACACTCCATTGTTCCTATCCACATCTCAGATATTGTATCACAAATGAGATAGACTGTGGGCAAGAGTGCTTGGACGATCTGGGTGTTATCACGAGGCCCTGGTGGTACCAGAGAATCTTCTTTCTTGATCTGTCTTGATGTCAGGGTCTCAGCATAAAGGAGATGGGCTTAAGATGTCTTCATTAAAATGACGGTTACTTTGTTGTAAGAGGATACTATTTTAACACCCTTCAACAACTTAGCAGGCTCCCTCTGAGGGGATTTGGATAAAAAGATATGTTCAGTGGGAGGAAAGAAGGTTTAAGAGGGCTGGGCAGGAAAACTAAGGAAGCAGTGCTGGTGTCTACAAAAGTGTGAAGCCAAAATCAGCAAACCAGGTTTTCTGACTTCATAGTTTCTCCCCCGTGTCCCAGAAGATAAGGAAGTACAATAAAGCACTCCATGCTGGCACAGCGTAAACCTTAGCAAAGGTTAATAAACAACTATAAAGCATTTAAAATAAAACCTTAAATGATTAACTGTTTATCTTGGAAATCACAGAACAGGGCCCTAGGGTTAGAGTACCTGATTAGACAGTTAGATGTGGGAGGTGGGCCTAGAGAGGGGAGAGCTGCCTGAAGAGAGAGTAAAAGAAGGGGGCTGTGGCAGAACAGGCTGGAGGGAGGGGATGTGGCAGTGAGTGGCCAGAGGAAGGGGAGAACTCTGTTGACGGACAACTGTACCTGTATTACTGCCATGCCTTCAGGTGGCCACAGTGCTGGATGTTAATCACAAAACTATTACCCTTTCCAGACAGATACACAGCTACTGCTTGGAAGAGGGAGCTGAAAGAGATCATTAGAAACAAGGGTTTTTCTATGAAACTGTTAGGAAGTGTTATCAGACATATTCTTAGTGTATTGCCCACTCTTAACCTTCTGCCTCATTAAAATGTTGGGCCTCTGTATCATCTTGGGAATGTTTTTAGGTGGGTCACCAGCTTTTCTATAGACTTTCAAGGTGCTCTGTTGTCTAAATGGCTGATCCTTCACTGCCTTGTTGGTTTCCAGGAGAGCAGTCTCCTATATCACTCAGCACAGACTCAACTTTTTCTTTAGAGAACATTAAAAATTACTGGGAGATTCTCCTACTAAAATAGCCACTCGTATGTATCTAAATAACTTACAAATGAGGTTTATATACAAATAAAGCATTAAAAAAATTTATTTTCAAGAGTCATGAAATCTCTCCTGTGGCCTTCTGAGATCCAAGCAAATTAAGTAGAATGACACTGGCAATATATATAAGGATAGAGATTTGCAAAATTCAGCTGTCAGGAAGAAAACAATTTTATTCTGGACAACTTTTAATTAAATCATTAATTAAGGTGAAAATTGGTGGGGGGCATGTTGTTGTGAGCTATTGAGGCAACTTATTAAATTAGAGCCAGCTTCAGTTTCCTGATACTAAGCCAGGCTGAAAGTAGGTTTACAAACACAGCACAGAAGTCAGTAGCAGGGCCTCTTGTCTGCATTGTGGAGCTATGCTTTGGGGAATTTGTAGTGCTTGATTGTTAGCTGTCTCCTAGAACTGCTTTGGGTGTGGTAATATTATTTATAGAACCTTGATTAGATGCACTAAAGATTAGGAGATTTATAAAATGTTTAGGGATTCATCCAGTCCAAATCCTTCATTTTACAGATAGGGAAACTGAGGCCCAGAGAAGGATAGGACTCAGTGTGCCTATAGTGGGCCCCGAAAAAGATGTCCAAGTCCCAACATCTGGAGCCTTGAATGTGATCTTATTTGGAAAAAGTGTCTTTGCAGATGTAATTAAGATGACTCTTGAGATTTAGGGATAGGCTGTAAATCCAATGACAGATGGCCTTGTCAGAGAAAGGCAGAAGGGAGATTGGAGACATAGAAGAGACACAATGCAATGTGAGGATGGAGACATAGCTGGAATTAGGCAAGCCACTGGTCAAGGAATGTCTGGAGTCACCAGAAACTGAGAGACAAGGAAGGTTTCTCCCCTAGAGCCTTTGGAGGGAGTGCAATTCTGCCAATACCTTGATTTTGAACTTTTAGCCTCTAGAACTGTAAGAGAACAAAATTCTGTTGTTTAAGCCACCCATTTGTGGTAATTTGTCACAACAGCCTGAGAAAACTAATACAGTACCCCAAAGGGCAGAACCAGGATGCAGCCCAAGTCTCTGGATTCCCTCAGTCTTGAGTTTGCTTCCCTGACACCGTTTCACATCTCTGAGTTCTTATCTTGTCAGACAGGTGAAAAAATTCACACTCTTCACTGCTGAAAAATACAGCTTCTGAGATGGAGGCAGAAAGAACATTGCAGATGCTGCTGCTTCCATGAGTTGATGCTTAGTCTACCCAACAATTAAACTTCCTGGGCTTGAAGTAATATTTCTGATTGTGGTATTAAGCATTAGGGAATCATTCTAAAATCTGGAAGAGAGAAATGATAAAATATATCCAGAAAGGTAAGCCAGTTGACTCTAACAAAATATATAAAGAGCAGATAACAGTATCTACCTCATAAGGTCCTTATGCAGTCAACAAGTATTTATTGAGCATACAGTATGTGCCAGGCATTTTTCTAGGCTCCTTGATCTCAATGGGATCTCAGAGTGGCAAGGGGCTAAATGGCAACATGTAAATGCCAAAGAGTATGCTCATGGTTATGGAAATGGGACACAGAGCTTGTGTGGTAATCAGAATGGTTTGAGGTACAGGCATCCTTGTCACTGGCTGATTGGTCATGATCTCCCTAGATTTAAGATAAGTGTCTACAAAAGTCTTCATTGCAAAAAGTCTAGTCCTGGTAAGCAGAGATCTTACTTGAGGCACCACAGTCAAGAGTATGGGTAGCTTTTGTCTCCTCCTCCAGATCTCTGTGTCTTTCTCCATCCTTCTCTGACTCGCATGGGCTGCCTCATAGGCTGCCTTGCCCTGTGGTTTCTGGTTGGGTTTAGCCAAATGGGAGCTACTGGCAGGAGACTGGATATCTTTCAGTCTGTTTCCTCAGTGACACCAGTGCTTGCTCCATGGACCCACGCACAAAGTGGCCATGGGCAGGGATGGAAGTTATGCATGAGCTCTGCAACTGCAACTTCTCACCAAGGCTAAACTGGCCTCTTCCACTGGCCAGTGCTAAATCTGTTAGGCAGAAAGGTAGACATAAGCAGGTGGAGGGACAATAAAGCTAGTAAATCCCACTAAAAGGGACTGAAAGAGTTAACCAGATAAAACCAGAGAGCCAGACAGAGTTAATTAGTTGAAGTTTCAAGGACCAGGAGTTACTTGGAATATCCAAACACTCCCCAGATGAAAAAACAACATACCCAGATGAGAAGTCTCCAAGCACACTCTCCAGATAAGAAAAAAAAAAAAAAATCAGAAGAGGCACACAAATCATCAGAGCAGCCCAAGTCTTCTTTTTACAAATTAGACCAGGTCTCCAGGGCCAAAGATCTTCAGTCAAGGACTTCTCTTTCCTGACAATAACCCCATAAAAGAAGCCGCAGAGTAAACTTCCTGCCTAACGTTAGGCAGGCCCACTCTGCCATACAGAGCGAAATAAAATTTACTTTGCCTTCTTAACTTTGGTTTCATGTCTCACTCTGACCTCCCTGTGTGAACAGACTTTCTCCCCAACAAATCTGCCAATAGCAGAGACTAATGCTGAGTCTGTAGTATCATTCTTTAGCCTTTTGACTGCACAGTGCTCACTAGTGGTTCAGCTAAGTCTAGACTGTCTCAAGAAGTGACTTTGAGAATGGATTGAGGATCAAAGGTTAGCAGCACTATCCAGTCACCTGGCAGCAGGTCGATTACATCGCTCCATCACGGAGAGGAGAGCAGCTCCTCCGTGAATTTACTTACAGTGGATATGGTGACTTTTAGGATTTTGGTGTCTCGTGGTAAAAGTTACTGGAAGACTACAGCAATATGGTGCAGTCAGGACCACTAATGGTTCACACACTTAAGAGTGAAGGTTTGAGTCACACCATCTGTGGCTCCGGGGAGGAAGCCTGTTCCTGAAGCGGGCAAATAAACCGGTGTGACTGAAATCAGTCCAAGGAAAGGCCAGATTAGGAGTCTCCAGATCTCTGTGTGTTTCTCCATCCTTCTCTGACTCGCATGGGCTGCCTCATAGGCTGCCTTGCCCTGTGGTTTCTGGTTGGGTTTAGCCAAATGGGAGCTACTGGCAGGAGACTGGATATCTTTCAGTCTGTTTCCTCAGTGACACCAGTGCTTGCTCCATGGACCCACGCACAAAGTGGCCATGGTGGCAGGGATGGAAGTTATGCATGAGCTCTGCAACTGCAACTTCTCACCAAGGCTAAACTGGCCTCTTCCACTGGCCAGTGCTAAATCTGTTAGGCAGAAAGGTAGACATAAGCAGGTGGAGGGACAATAAAGCTAGTAAATCCCACTAAAAGGGACTGAAAGAGTTAACCAGATAAAACCAGAGAGCCAGACAGAGTTAATTAGTTGAAGTTTCAAGGACCAGGAGTTACTTGGAATATCCAAACACTCCCCAGATGAAAAAACAACATACCCAGATGAGAAGTCTCCAAGCACACTCTCCAGATAAGAAAAAAAAAAAAAAATCAGAAGAGGCACACAAATCATCAGAGCAGCCCAAGTCTTCTTTTTACAAATTAGACCAGGTCTCCAGGGCCAAAGATCTTCAGTCAAGGACTTCTCTTTCCTGACAATAACCCCATAAAAGAAGCCGCAGAGTAAACTTCCTGCCTAACGTTAGGCAGGCCCACTCTGCCATACAGAGCGAAATAAAATTTACTTTGCCTTCTTAACTTTGGTTTCATGTCTCACTCTGACCTCCCTGTGTGAACAGACTTTCTCCCCAACAAATCTGCCAATAGCAGAGACTAATGCTGAGTCTGTAGTATCATTCTTTAGCCTTTTGACTGCACAGTGCTCACTAGTGGTTCAGCTAAGTCTAGACTGTCTCAAGAAGTGACTTTGAGAATGGATTGAGGATCAAAGGTTAGCAGCACTATCCAGTCACCTGGCAGCAGGTCGATTACATCGCTCCATCACGGAGAGGAGAGCAGCTCCTCCGTGAATTTACTTACAGTGGATATGGTGACTTGTAGGATTTTGGTGTCTCGTGGTAAAAGTTACTGGAAGACTACAGCAATATGGTGCAGTCAGGACCACTAATGGTTCACACACTTAAGAGTGAAGGTTTGAGTCACACCATCTGTGGCTCCGGGGAGGAAGCCTGTTCCTGAAGCGGGCAAATAAACCGGTGTGACTGAAATCAGTCCAAGGAAAGGCCAGATTAGGAGTAATCCGTTAATTGCTCAACCATGGGGCCCATTTCCATTCGTCCCCTCTGACCACAGCTCTCGCTCCCCGTCTCAGCCAATCCAGCGCGCACCGGCCTCCGCCCCCTCCTCTTCCGGGAGGACCTCCGCGGGCGGATCCCCAGGGACTGACAGGTGCCAGGCCAATTACGCAACAGAGGGGAGGAGAGAAGAGCCTCTCTCCGCTCCTTATCGCAGAGGCTGCGGGAAGAAACACCTGTTGACATATAAATGGACTAAGGCCCGGCGAGAGATTCTAGAAAGAATGCAGTTTTACCCCACACCGTCAGATAAAGAACCATGTGTAGCTGAAGTGCTGAAATGTGATTTGGGTTGAGGAAGAAGGAAATTATAAACTCCAACTACTGCCTCATCATCAATTAAGACGAGAATTTTGTAGCTAGGCATATTTTTTCCTTGGTTTATTTTGCGTACGTTTGATAATTTCTTCTCCTTCTTCCCTTTCCTGTACCATTTCATATGGGGCGAACAGATGGTAATTAACCTTTTATTTTGGTTTTTATGTTACAGGATATCGAAAGCGGATTGTGACTGAAGAAAGAGAAAGAATGACCGTCGTAAAGTCAAGAGAAATGACTGATAAGACTTCGGGAAAAGTAAGACTGATAGGATGGTAAGGATCTTCGTTTGTACAAGAGGAAGTCACAGAGCATTAGGTGAAAGCATTATGCTGTTGCTATGGTTTTTTGGAAATTAACTGTGGGTAAAATGGATGCTGAGTACCTGAAACAATGAGCTGCACCAGACTCTCTATTGGCAGCTCAGCATCATTCCGTGTTCCCCCAAAAAGGTTAGGAAGTCTATAAAACATTTAGAATCCTTTGACAACCATTTTCCATATTAGATTCCACAGATGAGCAGTACTTGTGTGAAATTTGGAGAACAAGAGACAGGCACTAACCCGCTCAAAATTTATTCCAGTGTCTGCTGAGTTCCAAAGCCACTTTCACATTTTGTTTTTGTAATAGCAGCGTCATACTTCTGATAACAAAATCTGTATCATTTATCACAGTGTAAAAAATTACCTGAAAACTTAGTAGCTTAAGACAACAATTATTATCTCACAATTTCTTAACTCAATAATTTGGAAGTGACTTAACTGAGGGTCTTTGGTTCAGAGTTTCTCATGGAATTTCAGTCAAGATGTCAGCTGGGGCTGTAGTCATCTGAAGGAGGCTACAGGATCCGCTTCCAAGAAGGCTCCCTTACATAGCTATTGGCTCATCACCCTGACGATGACTGACAGGAGGCTTCAATTCCCCACATCATGGGTCACTCCGTGCGCTTCTTTGACTGTCCTCATGACATGGCAGCTGGCTTTCTCTGGATCTAGTGATCCAAGAAAGAGAACAGAGGAAGTCGCAATGCACTTTATGACCTCCTATCAGAAGTAACCCACCATCACTTCTACTATATCCTTTTCATTTGAAGAAGTCAGGAAGTCTGCCCTCACTCCAGGAAGGGGTACCAAAGAATTTGGGAATGTGTTTTAAAACCACCGCAAGTTCTTATAGGGTATTTGATCTAAAGAAAATTAAGGGGAAAAGTTTTTAGCCTCTAATGATATGGTAACAAAGGAAGTCATCTAGATTCAAGATGAGGCCAGGAAACCAAAGAGGAGTCATGACAGAAATATTTTGACTCAAAAATTTAAGAGAAAGTTGAAAATAATAAAAAAGTGAAGTCAATTTGTTGCAATTTTTACATGAGTCTCTCGCCTTTTAACTTAAAATTACATTTGAAATTTGCGTACTATGTTATCATGTCAGATTCTCAATGCTAACCATGACATTAGGGCAACATGGATAAATTTCTTTTCATACTTTTTTGACTACCACGACTCTAGAAAATACCATTAATATTAGAGCTTCCTCTCAAGCCCCACATACATTTCCTTCATCCAACCTGTCCATCCACTCTACCTCTGAGGTAAAGAGGAAACAACTATGGGTGTGATATGAGGGAAGAGTCCACTTCCAACATCAGGTTAGTCCCCACACCTTAACCTCACCAACCAGACCAGGGGGCTAAATTTTCCTACAAACCCAGGGGCATTTCTTCTCAGACTGATGCTTTGTTCTCTGGGCTCTGTAGTAAGCATTGTAACTTTAGATTTTAAATTCCAAAAATAATTTTGGAGATCAACATAGGATTGCCAGTTTGTAATTTTTCCAAATAAAGATGTTTTTAAAAATGATCACCTACTTTCTCTATCATTTTATAAAAGAGAAGTCACTTTAATACCTCAAAGTTGGAAGGACATAATCTCAGCCTTAAAGTTCTTTGAATTAAATACATTTAGCCTTTTGAAAAGCTTACCACACTAAATTTATTTTTTCTCATTCCATCATGAAAAGTTCATCCCCATTTATCAGTTCTAGAATAATGTTTGGAAACCACTCAATTTAAATCTTTTCTTCTGGGAGGCAGCTCCTGCATTCTTCCTGACTCAGAAATGAGTTTTAGGCTTCATGACAGGAATAGTCCTGCAAAATCTCCCCATGGTTTCTTTTCATGGGTTTAGTGAGAAGTACCTGGAAGCAAGAGACCAATTAGTGCATACTGAGCACTTAGCACATGTCAATTTCTGTGCTAGCTATAGTCACTCAGCCTATGTATTAGGTGTACATCTCAGTTGACAAACCCAAGAATACACAAGAAATGCAACTTTCTTTTTCTTAGTATTTATTTTCTGTTTGAATATGTTCCACTGGGTACATAAGAAATTAAGAAATATAATCTTAATTTAGGATCTCTCCCCCTTTCTTCCCTGGGGGGGGGGGTGTATCACATCTTTGATCCAGGGCACTGTTTTAATGCATCAACAGGGCTAGATTAGCTTCTCAAGGTCTTAAGCACTGAAAAAATTCTAATGTCTTCTATATATAATTGAAAACTTTTCAGTACTTACTTATAATTTATTATTTCCAAACCAAGTTCTGTTTGTTTTTTTTCTTGCCTGAAATTATCCCTTCAGTGCTTTTCATTCCCCCAAAATTTTTTCTTACTTTTGGATGGGTGCTTTGTTTTCCTGGTATCCTTGGCAAGTTCTTGGCCTACCTGTGGTGTTTTGGTCCTGCTCATTGGCCCTCAGCATCCACCTAGGTGTATGGATTATACTGTGGGTCCATGCAGGTCACCGAGTCCTCCTCACCCTGCCCACACAAGACTGCCTCATATCTGAAGGCTTTTTATACTACATCTGGGCCACTCTGGGTTAGAATTTATCACTTAAGTGTAAAACTTCAATCCCTATTAAAAGGCAACCCTTGCTATTACCAATCATCATACTTTGTACAGACAAAGGAGCTGAGGGGATAGAAGGGTGGGCAATAGGCAAAGAACAGGAGGACATTGTATTACATTATTTTCCATTGACCCAAATTCTCTTATTTATGTTTTAACTTTCCTTTCTGACTCCTGCACTAAAATGTAGATGTATGAGAGCAACACATCTATCTTATTCATTATTATAGCCCTAGAACCTAGAACAGTACCTGGCACATAGTAGGCCCTCAATAAATATTGTTTATTGAATGAATGAGAATGCAGGGAATAAGGACAACACAAAGAGGTGGAAGAGCGTCAGAATGATGGGGACTGAAAGTGCTGAAAATAAACTTCAGTTATTTTACAATTCTGCTGGACGCTTATGTCAGCTCTTCTGTGGAGAATGTCTTGTGTTCTTTTCTGATTGTTGCCTGTGGGCTAGTATTTTCTTCCAGCTGGAAAAACTCATTACTGTAGGCAAGACATATCATATAACTTTGCAGCTCCCCATGATGTACAGCACTTTAAGAGCTAGAAGATGTTAGTGTACTGAATGAACAGTGAATGAATGAATGAATGAATACGTTCATAATATCTAGAGAATCCTTAAGGAATGGACCCTCTGTTACAGGGGTTAAGTGTAAAGTGGTGTGGTCTTGAGTCTTACCCAGCCTCAGCATAACACATCCACTTCCTGGGCTGCAGCACCTCCCAGAGGAAGTCCAGCGACACTGCCGCCTCCCTACAAGCCCCCAAACGTGGGCTCCTGGGTGAACCAGGATCTCTACCTTCTCTCCACCTTTTCATCCTCAAAACCTGTCACCCCCATCGATAAGGCCCAATAGACTTGGGGTACCTGCTGGTAACCCCAAGTACTCATAAGGTGAACAGTGAAGGACTCCATTACAGCCAGCCACTTCCTCTAGACTAGAACAGCTCTTCTCAAACTTTAATGTGCAGATGAGTCACCTGGGGAAGATCTTGTTAAAATGAAGATTCTAATCCAGTTGTTCTGGGTTGCAGACCAAGATGCTAAATTTCGAACCAGCTTCCAGGTGACAGCAAGGCTGCAGATCTGATCTGTTCCCCTGTGACCTGCCAACAGCAGCAGCTCCCAAATGCACCAGGTGTGACAGGAAGCTGTGGGGCCAACTGTTTAAGCAAACAGACTGAGTGTTATAAATTATAGACTTATAAAGTCTTATAAATTATACTTGTCCCTTTCAAGGTTTGCCCCTTAAAAGTCTACACACTTAAACCAAAAAATATTTTGCTGGAATGTTACTTAAAACATTTTTGGGTTTGTTGGTGAAGGTTGGTACACCTTAAAAACTCTGTGGTGACATCTTTTTCTTCAAAGGTGGATTTAGAAGCAGCCAAAAATCATTTCAATTTAAAATGTGACTATAAATACTGAGATGGATTTACTCATATGGCTTATAAATTAGCCCTGAAAGTAATCTCCAAACAAGAGTTCCAAAAATGTTTTGGGCAACTGGTCAGAAAAAGCAGAAAGCCTGCTTTGAAACACAGAACTCATTTAGATGCTTAAGTTCCACTGTGTTCATTTTTAAGGAGTTGATTTCATGATGTCATATTCCCATTATACTATTTTATTTAAGGAAAACTTAAATAGGACTTAGTAAGTGATTTAGAGTGGAGAGTGGAAACCTGCAGAAAGTAACAAATCCAACCAAGACAAGAAACAGCTGGAGCTGGAATGTGCAAACAGAGAGCTCTTACATCTCCTGCCTCTTCCCTGGTGTAAATAATGTAGAAAAATGTCAGACCTCTAGCTGGAAAGGGTGGCAAGTTCTTAGGCTCACCCTCCTGCATTCTGTTCTCTCCTGGTCTGAGTTGTCCTGTGTGTTACTTTAAACTCAACAAACTTAGGGAACTGGGAACGGGGAGACCTGGGGAAATTACAGCCCGCAGATGTCTTGCTCTTAACACTCACTTCACTCAGTCTTTGCTGATGGATTGTCGGTAAAGGGGGACACAATCCCTTTGCGATGTCCATCTCTCCCAGGAATGCTTCTAGACTTGCTTTGCCAACCCCAGGTTCCCTGGAAGGATCTGGAGAGTCTATTCCTCAATAAGTCCTAACTGATTCCCACCTTGTCAGTGACACAGCGGCGACCAGCCACCTGAGAGCGGAATCTAAATTCATTTCCATTTTGCCAAACGTCAAATGACAGACCCGAATTTGTTGAGTTTGGATTTTTTAAGCGCGCCTAAAACAAACTAACAGATAAAATTTGCTTTAAACCTGATGAAGAGTAAGAAAAAACTCTGCAGGAGAAAATTCCCTCTCACCCCTGAGGTTGGGGAGATGGATAGAGGTCACAAACATCTATTAGAATCTCTCCAAGTGGCTACAAGAACCAGTGCCGCCAGTGCGGTCACATTTTTCACTTGTCTCAGTATTTGAACCAGGTTCACAGTATTGTCTATTCTGCATTCTAATAACCCTTAGTAAATGTTCCTATAATCCCTACACTCCAAAGAATTGAAGTTTTTAGCCCGGGTGAGCTTTTTTTAGAGGACCCAGTATATGATTTGACCATTGATGGGGCCAAATGAGGAAGGGTACCACACAGAATAACGTCCTAAAATTAAACCACCACACCACGGAAGATGCAGTTAGCTGGTTCACTGGAAGATGGAGAAACAGAAGAGAAAGTACAGTCCCAAGGTTCCCCCAGGGCTTTTTGCTGCGTTCTTATTTCGAGTTAACCTAGAATCTGCTATACAGCAACCAAGGATCAGCACAGAGGAGAATGTGGTTTTTCAGACCTAAAAAAGGCACCTCTTGCCGTGCCATTGTTCCCACAATGCCGTGACTCGGATTCGAACCGAGGTTGCTGCGGCCACAACGCAGAGTACTAACCACTATACGATCACGGCGAGCTACCGGAACGCCATGGGAATAGCCTGCCGAGTATGGTTCTTCTCTTCTAGACAGCATCCGTTCTGGTCTTCCGAAATTGCTCACTGTCGAGCCAACGACCCTCACACTGACCCTGAAGAGGAATGGGGCCACCATGGACTCCCCATTTGGTCTCCGCTGGTCGTTCTCACTGATTGTAGAAAAAAGGACTTAAAAGTGCTTTGCAAACTAAAGGATTCCTGGGAGGCAGGACTCTCACGTAGCTTGAAAGTATGTGAGGCACCAGGATCGCCCGAATGGTGGCCCTGGGTCCCTCTCGCACACACCACGCCCTGGCCCTCACGCTATCTGAACAGACTCTGGTTGGGCATGGGGCTCTTAAATTCTACAAGACGGAAAATTCAGTTCCATCCTACCCGTAAAACTTCATTTGAGGCGCAGGGAAAAGGAACCCCGAGCTGCTGGATTTGGCCGGCGCCGGAGTGCGGACTAAAATTAAGAGAGCGGTGACCAGTACGCCTGCGTGCACTCTCAGAACGGCGCGGTTAGAGATGGGCGGGAACAAACAAATGACAGAGAATGACAAGTCAAGGGGGGGGGGGGCGGGGCTTTCAACAGAGAAGACCTCAGGCAAAAAGCTGAAATTTCGAGTCCCCAGTAGCTCGCCGTGATCGTATAGTGGTTAGTACTCTGCGTTGTGGCCGCAGCAACCTCGGTTCGAATCCGAGTCACGGCATTGCGAGAGCAATAACACGGCAGGGGGTCTGCTCTTTTTTCACTGTCCTCCATTTTAATCTCGAGTCTGTTACATTCTCGAAAATGAGTCTCGATCCCATTGTGACAGTTGGAAACGATTTTTACTCCAGCTCTGGCTAAATTGGACTTGTAAAGAATGTAGGCTTCCGATTACTCGCGTTATTGTTCTTTGGGGACAAAGTCCAGAATAATCCAAAGGCTGGTAAGTGCTGTAGTAGACAAGTACGAATTGCCATGGCATCACTGGAAACGGACTCCCAATAAGAAGAGAAGGCTTTGCA